TTGCTACTCGCTGACGAGTTGTTCAATAGCTGTTGGGTGTTTTCCTAATACATCAACACATTGTTTAAAGAACTAATTTCAAGTAATTATCATTTCATTATCAAAATAAACGGTAAATTGTACAATTACGTGCACATACCATACCACGTAACGATTAATCATCACCGCCACAGCTGTGTGTTAAACAGTTAAACTTTGCTGGATCAGATGTGTAAATGCAATTGTTATAATAGTACTATTATTAGAATAATGAAGTAAATAGAATCGTGATCTACTTATGAATTTTAGTTTGGGTTTACCCCTAGAACATGGTGATGAGAATTTACAGTTACATTTACGGTGGCACTCTGTAATTAACATAATAAAGTTTTTTTTGCAGAACGTCAGTTATTAGCGCCATTCTTTAATATGCACAGCTGTTTCACGAACTAAATTTCAGAGATTTAACTATTTTTCACCTCATTAATAGATGGCATATATTGAACATATTGCTCCCTTACCTTGAACCTGTGATCTCAGTCATTCTTTTCTTAAGGATATACTTTCATACATATCAACTATTGATTAAATCCAATTACTGTTATAATAGCGACCATATAATATTTGTCATGACAATCGATCAGAATTGCAGGGTCAGTGTTTTTATCAATTGTTGTTTAAATGCATTCCAATTAATTATCTCATTTTATATACACTGTTTTCCCGTATCCATCATCTGCACTCATTCCAGTCCGGTTTTGTTTTGTTAAAACAAAATTCGTTTCCATTTTTTTTTGGCAAAATGTTGGTTGCACGTTTTTACGTTTTTGTTGTGCGAATTGATGCGTTAATGGGCAGTGGTCGTCGCGCCGCGCCGTGTACGGTATGGATTCCATACGACGTGTGTGAAATACGCTTATTCACATGAAGATTCAAACAGGCTCTGCGCTACGACCGCCACTCTTTAATTGTGAAATGATTTTGCCGGTGGTTATTTTGTGAAATATGACACACGTTGACCTGATCTATTGCAGAAATTGTGGAAACTGTTGATATCCTCGACATTGAAACTGATGAATACCATTTTGTCGAGGGCGGCAAGGAGTTCACAACGACCTGTGTAGCCGAGAACGGATTCCCTGAGGCTATGCTGAGCTGGTATAAAGACGACGAGTTCATGACCAATGGCGTCCAAGACGTATTAAACAACGGAGACGGCACTTTCACTACACGCACCGTACTTACGTTTGTACCTACAATCGAACACGACGGTTCTGTAGTGAAATGTCAGTCTAACCAAGAACCGGAACTCATGGACATATATCTTGAGGATTATTTCACCTTACACGTTAGTAAGTAACTTCCGGCGAGATTTCAGATTATTTGGGTTGAAGTCCGATTGGGGACGGTTGTGTGTGTGTGTATGTGTGTGTTTGTGTGTGTGTATGTGTGTGTGTATGTGTGTTTGTGTGTTTGGTGTAACGCAACTATTAAATCAACGTCGCATGGGACAACAATCTCTTCATGGTTTACTTTATAGCTCCAAATACTTGAAGCAAAATAAAACAAACTCTCAAAGTTCAGTACTCGTGTCATGGAGCGTGAAATTACGTGAAATATGTTACACTGGCTAGTCGTTATTGTGTATGTAAGACCAGAATAGTAACTCCTCTTTTTTTTCTGTATTTGTCAATTATACTGGTAACCGGGTCGAACAGCCTGTCGCGGTTTAATATGGATCATGCAAATTCGAGTTGTCAATACGTATGCGTATAACTGTGTGGCATTATTTTATATGATTCAATAAATGTTTCGGTTTCTGAGTTTCTTTCATTTTGTCCATAGGTGGCGCTGGTGTTACTAGTTTTAGTGCAGTACTCTTGATGGTGTCTGTGTTATTTTCAACACTCTAATAAAACGTTATATGTGAGTATCACTTATATGTATGTATAGCTCTTTCCTTCAATGAAACATGTATTCGAAATTATATATCAGCGAGCCTGTTTTAAATTATGCAAGCTATATTTAAATAGAGCACAATGCACCATGCAATGCATGGTCATGGCTTCGAATTCATACCAAGTATTGATAATATCAGTATCATTAAAACTAATTATTTTTTAATTCGTTCTATGCTGCGAAAACGAACTAAAATTAAAAAACTAAAATTCTTGTATATAGACAGTATGAATAATGCGAAAATCACATTCTGACATAGTTCGTTTCCAGTTGATATTGTATAATGATATAAATATGTCATGAATGACATGACAATAATCATGCGATATGTATAAATGGTTAAATCTAGCAACTATCAGTTCACTGTACTGTACAGTACATTAGCAAAACACCGAGTCGATGAAATCCAAAGACACTACTGAATCTAACGAGTCTGATTTCTTTCTACAGGTGCTGCCAAAATAGACACAGCTCAGATGTCTTTAAATAATCATCCTTAACTGGAGTTTACATACTTTCTGATATCAACTCATAGTTTTCCGAGTCGCTTAGCAACGCATCAAAGTTTCAAGAATTGTTTATAACGCTACTTCTCTATATTTGTTACGTTATCGCTAAGACCGCCCTGAACAAATAAAACAAATATATTGTTATTTTTGTTCAAGATAGTCTTAGTCATACCAGATGTACATTATTTGGGGTTTGCAACGCGCATAGTACTGTATGGTGACATCATGTCAAGATCCCATTCAAGTCTCATCTCGTAGATAGCGAGACTGACGCTACGACCTTCTGACATGACATAGGAGGTTTGTAATAAAACAATAACACATGTATTACCACATTCATAGCGAAAAAATGTAATACATCGAAAATGTTATCGTAATCCGTCACATCGTGAACAGGTATTTTGATCCACCTGGACATCCCAGTATCCTAGTTACCTCGGGCATGCGCATTCGCATTTTTCTGAGTTGGAACGCTTATGCGAGAGCGAGATTAACACGGGATCTTGGTTTCATGTCACCGTAGTTGCAAACCCCAAGTAATGTACCTCTGGTCATACATATCATTAATGTTTCAAGTTATAACTAATCCAACTCTGTTTTGTTTTGTTTTTCAATTCAATTAACAAATTATTGCTTTATTGAAAACAATAATAATATGTAGCTTTCTCCAAGTTCAAAGTTTTTACAATAACAACTTTACTGAAGTTTGTATGTCATCCAATGACCTCTTATGACCTTGTAAAGGGACATAATTTCAGTGATGTTGCGTCGTTCACAATTATAAGAATTTAGTGATGTTTGGCAAGGTTGCTCAATATAGTTTCACGAAAGAATCTCACTAAATTTTGCGAGTATGTGAGAAGTTTGTGAAGTTTTTTGAGAGGATAGTGTCATATTACTTATGCAGATTAATACATGGGACTATTTGGTAAAAGTAAAACGTGGGTCGTTCAGTTAGAAAAAAAGAAAACAAAAAATTTTTCCAATCGAAGCAATGAAACAAAGTGTCTGGAAATACATTTTAGGGTTACGGAAAAGTTTGTAATAATTCGACAGTTTGTGTTAATAACATATGAATGATATTATATACTTGTTCCCACAGAAAAAAGAACGTCTGCGCGTTCACCTTCACTTAAAACCCACCACGCTGGGGAAAACTGTAATGAGCAACCTTGAAACGTAACAGTCATCGTACCGCGTCCTTGTTCGACATATATAGGTATCACGCGACCATAAACAACACGTGTAAAATACATTGTTTACGCGAGATTCGAACGCACGCAGTGTGACGACTGGGACGCTTTCATTTCTATGAATACTGTGGAAGGCATAAAGCTGGGAATTTATAAACTTTTTATAAATATAAATTTTTATAAATGAAAATGAGTACTGGAAAAATATTTTACTGAAAATCTATTTTACATATTTTACATAGAATTCAAATTGACCAATCAAGAAACGATATGGCGTTATCATCGCGGGGTTTAATTAATATTCATAACCAGGTCAGCATCTTCCAATCAGCAAGCCCTTCATTTTGAATGAGTGGGCGGCCGCAGTTGCTATGTCACTTGAAGGCTTGTGGACAATTTTGAGCTCTCGAGCCAATAATTAATAAATATTTGAATTTGGAAAAAAAATCGGTATTTACAAATTGTTATTAATATTTTTATAAATTAAGCTTTCTGCCTTCCACTATATTTTAATCTCATTATATACATGATGATTAAGTACGACAAATGTGAATTTTTGTGAATAAAAGCGATATTTCTAAACAAATTGGCAATTTATGCATTTTATCTTTGTAGAACAAATCTATTTTACATAGTGTATTTTCTTTATATGTTTATGTTTTTACTGAATATATCATACGTGAATTACCATGTTAATCATGAGTTTTTTTATTCCAAGATCGAATCGGATGAGGAAAAAAGAAATTACATATTGTTATGTTTTTGAACCTGATTGATTCATTAAATTTCTTTCATCTAATCAGATGTTTTGTTCTCGTGAATTATATTGTCGATTGTTGTCAGTCAGTTGTTTTTCAAGTTTGCAAAGTGCCTGATTTAAAGAAAAATAGCCTCAAAAACTAATAAATCGTAAGGTGTGTTGTCCACACTATTTTAACAAAGTTTGGAACTAACTGTTATCTTGAAACCCAATCTAACTACTAATTAAACACACAGTTAGCCCGTAGCAATATTTGGACGCCATTAACACCACAATCCCCGTATTTGATGAGCCGCGAAGCGATGAGTCGAAATACATTCATTATAGCCATATGTTGTATACACTGAATTATCTGAGCAATATCTTGTCCGCCTATAATTTGGTGGAATAATTTGCACATTTGACGTATTTTTGCTGTGATACGTTAAAAGGCGGTGGTCGTGGCGTTATGGTTTCCATAGTGACGTATAGAACTTGTGTAAAACACATTTGATTATATGTAATTTACTTAAATACGCGCTACGCGATCACTACCGCCCTTTAATAGTGAAATGAACACCTGGTTTTTAATTTTGTGAACGTTCACCGTGATTATTGCAGAAATCGTGGAGAGTGTTGACATCCTTGATATTGAACGCGGCGACTACGAGTTCGTCCAGAGCGGCGAGATGTACACAGCTATTTGTGAGGCTGAAAACGGATTCCCTCCTGCTCGGCTTGAATGGTATAAGGATGACGAACTTATGTCGAACGGAAGTGAAAGCATATTAGACAACATGGACGGTACTTACAACACACGCAGCGAAGTTAGCTTCATAACTCTCTTCGAACACGATGGTGCAGTAGTGAAATGTCAGTCGAACCAAGAACCGGCAATTATGGACGCATACATTGACGACTATTTCATCTTAAGTGTCAGTAAGTAAATTCCGGCGAGTTTTCTAAATTTTCTGGTTGAAGCCCTAATGGAGACTTTATCTGTTTGCATGTTTGTGTGTGTCTTATTACTAAGAATATAATCTGACATTCGAAGTCTCCTATTACAACACTGGTAAAAAAAAAATATTGCGGTTTGATGCTGAATATGTAAATTTGAGTTGCCATGACGACTGTGCTCGACTGTGTGACATTGTGGTGTATGATTCAATAAATCTCCCTTATGTAAATAACGTATTATATCTCTCCGTAGGTGGCGCTGGTATTACTAGTTTTAGTGTAGTTATCTTATTGGTGTCTTTGTTATTCTCAAGTCTCTAAATTGTAAAAGGCGAGTATCAGCAACTTGTGTGGTATGATTAATAATTTCCAGGAGATTCACATCTCGTATTCAGCCACGTGCGCACGCGCGGTGCCATACAGTCGTCACATCCGGTCACGTTGCTGTGTGCTAGTTTAGAATGAATACACAATGTAATGCTATTTTGTTTTTTTTCTGTCGTTGTAATCCATACACAACAGTAAAGTTCATGATTCTGATTTAATTTTACAGGTGCTGCAAAATTAGACACAGCCCGGCAGAGATCGTCACTTCTCTCCGTGTCAGATGTTTTTACACTTTTTGATTTCAACTCGTGATTCTCCGAGTCGCATAGCAACGCATCGCTTTTGACTGTGTTTACATTAATTCAGCTGATGAAATAATAATAATTTCAATAATTGTTATAATGTTACCTCCCTGATTATGGTTCGATACCTTCTACGTTGCCGCTTTGAATGAAAAGTACATGTTTTTTTTTATTTCTTTGGTAGGGTAGTCATAGTCAAAATTATTTAATATGGAATATATAGTCCTCCGAATGTTTTGTCCGAAACACCTCTTTTTCTTGAATTGTTTTTAATTAAGTCTCACCATTAATTCAATCTGGGCTGTAGAACATTACTTTTCGAAATTTAACATGTGGACACCACGTGATGTTGCACAGTTCTCTTACGTAACACTTTGCGTTATATAAAAAAATAATAGTACACCACGTGACCAAAACCACAATTTTATTTTACTTTCGTTTTTCATAACGATCAATCCGTAGCTTAATTCAGAGTTTGAGCCTTATGTTTTTACACTTTTTACTATGATTTTCACTTGGGTTGGTTGGAATCCAATGACCTCTTACGACCTTAAAGAGAGATTTCATATATAATTTACGTGGCAATGCTTACTATTATGGCCACGTGGTCAGTTTACTAAAATCAAGTTTAAACACCAAAGTTTTGTGAGTACCACGATTCTTTAATTGTGAATGATCTTATAGACTACAATCTGTATTTTAAGTTTATTACAAAACAAAACAAAACAACTTTGAGTTAGAAACAATCATTTTAATTTTTTGTGTGAAAAAAAACGATCATGATATTTCTATATTTCCAACTTAATTTGCAATATAAGTATCTTATCTTTATAGTACAGTTCTGTTTCACATATTGTATTTTGTTTATATTTTAAATTTTCACTGATAATATCACATGAGTATTACTAGCAGATTTTATTTTGTAAACATGTAACTTTATTTCAAAATTCAGAGATGAAAATGATGAAAACTTGAAGTAAATCTATCAACAATTGTATTTTCATGTGTTCGTAGATGATTTTAATAAATTACTTATAGACAATATCATCTTGCGTGAATTGATAAACCACGTGACTATAAGCCCAACCATGAACCACGAGTGCCCAGACTCGTCGCGAACGAGAAACACAAACTAACCATTTTGGATTATTTCGAATATTTAACTTTGAAAGTGCTGCAAAATATACAACAACATTGTCCAGGTGTACAGTGTACCATCGTTGACTCTGGGACTCGCTGGGGATTGGTTGGGGAGTTGTTCCTCCGTGAAAATACGTAGGTGTCTGCCCGAAGAGTCTGGAACGTGAACGTCGATTCTTGTTTGTTTCGCACGTTCTAATAATATAGTCCACGTTATATATGGGACGTTATACGTGCATTTGTTTTAAATGTATATATTTCTAGGCTTATCTCTGTTTTCCACCGATGTAATCTCAAAACCGCATCGCACACAACTTCCGATCTTGTCCCTGCGCCTATTACTGCAGTGGATCAATCTATATACTTCTCAAGTTCGCCAATGTACACTCAAGCTATTCAGAGAAAACAGAGAGCTGAGGGAATTCACAGCAATTAATATGTGAGGTACATGGACTACTTATAAATACTAATGTTTGACGGACAAATTTGTACTTGCTCAAATCTTTTCACCATGATCAATATCTGTTATACATTCAGAAACAAAACATTTTTTCAAACATGTACGTTTTGATTTAGTCAGGCTAAAGAAGAGACAAAAGTAAAAGTGGGATAAACACATGTGCATAGGTTTTGGGTTTTGCTCTTCCTCCGTCAGTCTGCGTTAAAATAACAAATAATTATTTCACTTCTTCGTCGTTGGTGGCGCTACACAGTCGGTGTCATGGAACTCTTAGTTTTTATTCTACTCTACTTCAGGAGTGTTGAAACGTTATTGCAATGTGCCTGGTTTTAAAATCAAATTGCTGTGAAAGGGGCGGGAACTTGAAAAAAAAAAACTTATATAGTTGCGGTCAGGAAGTAGCCGAGTCCGTATTGTATTTGATTCCAACACCTCACCCAAATATAATAACCCTCACAAGTTTGCAAAGAGTACTAGTCGACTGTACTCCACATAGTTCAGTCAAGAATTCACCCATTCAAACGAGGTTCCAGTTGGATGTGTGGTCAGCAAAATTGGTTGTGCAAAACGTTTTTGTGTAAAATTCAGTGACCAAATTTTGCAAGTCAGTATAATTTTGCTCACCGAATCAGATATGGAATCCTTGCACAATTTGTCCTTGAAGCAGAATAAGGGTTGACAATTACAAATCGAGGGTAAATATTTTCACCCTACCATTTGTTTACACTTTCTTATTCTCAATAGAGCTTTATATGTACAATAATGCCACGTTTTGAAAAATACACCGACTTTTAAATATAAATATTAAATACAACTGAATCTTCTAATCACCCTCATTTAGTTCATTATGTCGGCCCTTATCTGTTTCTGTTCACTATTCACAACAAGGTTTCCCTGATTTGGGGATTACAAATTTCGCTGACCATTTTTTTCACCCTTTACCTACCTCCTCCCCTATTCAAACTGCTGATAAGCAATGACTACAGGTAACTACATTTGAACAGTTAAAATCAAAGCGTTATGTGTATTTGTTCCTAGTGTTGTGAACACTAGCGTTGTGTTCTGGGAACTTTCATTGGCTGGTAACACTTACACGAAGAGATACCAGGGTCTACCCATTGGAATACACATTAGTTCATTACAGATAGTCTAACTTTATTCGTCTAAATTCTTAGCCGAGGTCAAGCCTCGCTACCCACTTCTTTCCGTCTTCTCTTACAACATTCTACAGTTTTTACTGTAACAATGAAACTCTAAGGCGTGGCAGAGTAATAATGCGATCAACCAATCGCAGCAGTCGTTTCACGACCACGTGATTACCAGGAATATGTCCTACGGTTAACGCATTTCGTAGTTGCCACTACTAAACTAGTAAACAAACTTTCTATAAAATTCCTATAATATATGTTTATAATGCAATATGTTGATCCTAAAAAATACTACAACCTCGTGTGAACCAAATGTGTATTACGTAATGTCATTGATAAAACTACTTAAAACACTTAAATAACATATGAGAACAATACTAATAAAGTGTTGAACTTAGTAGTCGACCCTCGGCATAGTTCTGTCAACTTAACTCATCATTCAAACTCCTGATAAACTAAAAAAATAAAAAAATAAAATCGTTAGTAGTTTTTGTTTACACTAATTTTGGAGTAATGCTATCAGCATTTGGCGCGATTTTATATAACTTGATTACGAACTTGAAACACAGTGCGTTACAAAAATCTGCTAACCGGGAAACACAGTTACCATGGTAAAACAAATATAGATAGATAGACGAGTAAAAATACATTGTTGATAGCCACATTATATGTATAAACTAAGTCTATCGAACGTCTTATTTTTCCTAGAAACGATGGTGGGAAAATTATTCACATTTGCATCATGTATTATTCTATTATTCCCATAGCAACTTATAAAAAGTGGATAAAATATATTTGTTAAAGCGGGGCCGGGGAGTCGTCACCTGCGCGTGCGTCAGATGGCCATAGCGTGTCATTGTTTACCCAAGAGCCTTTGCGTTTTTAGCGTGTGTTGTTATCGTCGCTTGGGACTCAATTCCCGCGTGTGCGCAGGTGACGACCCACATGCTTTAACATAAAATTCACACAGATGCTGTGCGACAACGACCACTTTTTTTATGACGAAATAATTACCCCCGTCCTAGTTATTTTGTGAAATGTGACCAACGTTGACCTTGTTCATTGCAGAAATTGTGGAAAGTGTTGATATCTTCGACGTTGAAAATGGTGAATACCATTTCGTCAATGGCGGAGAAGTGCACACATCGAATTGTGTAGCCGAAAACGGACTCCCTGCTGCTTCCATTGAATGGTATAAGGATGAAGAACTTATGGGGAATGGCAATCAGACTGTATTCGAAAACATGGACGGCACTTTTACCACACACAGTGAACTTACCTTCGTACCTACATCCGAACACGATGGTGTTGTAGTGAAATGTCAGTCGAACCAAGAACCAGAAATTATGGATACATACCTTGACGACTATTTCATCTTACTTGTCGGTGAGTAACTTGCAGGAAGTTGTTTAACTAAATGGGTTAATGTATACTTTGGGACGGTTGTGTGTGTGGGAAGTG